GCGGGGGGAGGCGCAGCCCCGCCACAGGGGGGGGGGGGAGTAGTGGGCCCAGCCTGACGCAGCAGCAGCTGGGGGAGGGGAAAAGCAAGCCTCCTCCCCGCCTCAGGCCCACTCTTCACCTCCCCACCCGCCCCCGTCGGCTCCAAGCCCGCTCCTCCCGTTCCCTTGCTGGCGCTGGGTCAGCCTGAGCCTGCTGCTTCCCCTGCTGTGGCAAGCCAGCTTCTCCCCACCCTTGGGCACAGTCCTCCCCTGCGTCAGCCCTGGACCTACTCCTCCCCCTTCCCCTGCCGCTGCAGTGGGGAGGCAGGGAGTGGGCCTGGACCCCAAGCAGCAGGAGGTAAAGGGGGAGTGGGCCCAGATGGGGTGGGGGGGCCACGGGCCTCGTCCCCCACCCCCACCATCATTCTTGACGGGCAATTGGCACGTGCATACATAATACAGCACCAAATCTACTTAGTAGCACAAGCAGCCACAAGTACATCAGACCTGTCCTTCACTCTCTACACTGCCACATCTTCTGCACCAAGACACCCAAAGTGTCTTCTTCCCTTTGACCTTGCCTTCTATCAGAAGGACCTACTAAGAGGTATATTAAAAAGAAATAGAAAATGAAAAGATACTCCAAAAAACGAAGACACCAATATGTTTCATATACTTCTCCCTCTGGGGAGAAAATGAGATAATGAACATATGACAGATATTAGTCACATTGCTCACCATGCTACTGGAAATTGATCAGATATGGTGGCAACGAGCCTGTTATAAGTAACTATATCAGCGACTCTCAATCACGTTGCTGTGGCCAAGAGACCCTTTTAACAGTGCTGCCAAATATTAGCAAAAGACATGATTTACAAGATAAACCCACAACTTTCAAACAGAAATCCACAGTGTCAAAAACATTCTGACTAATTGTGGGATTCTGAGTTCTCTGCAACAGAAGAATTACTCTATCATTTTTCTGTAGACAAAACACAAGTAGAAGTTGAGAGCTAGAATTTTCTGAGGAGTGCTCCGAGTCTAACCACTGACATATAAAATTAAAACCCTATAGAGAAATGAAATAGCCTCTATCCAAAGGTATAAGGTTCATCTACAGGAGTCAGTAAAGAATCTACCCATCTCCCACATCCCCATGTGCATAATATTACACAATTGGTTTGGCATGTTCAATAAATGTGTACCTACCATTGAAATGTTAGGTACCAGAAGCATTCAGAGATGTGATGGATGGAGTGATGATCTGAACTGTGTTTAATGTACTGTACAGTACCCTCACACAATGAACAAATTCTTTGTTCCAGACTTTTGTAGTCTAAAGCAGGGGTTCCCAAAGTTTTTATAAAGCAGCCTTGCAAGCCGCAGACTGGAAGTGGCCACGGCCCGGCAAACCACAGCCCAGCAGTCACAACCAATCATGGCCGGAATTTCCAGCTGGAAGACAGGTAAGGATACCCCCACCCGCACCCCCACAGCAGGGGGGTGGGCCAAACCCTGCACTACCACGGGCCTTGCAGAAGGAGCCGTAGCCTCTCCACCCAGCTCTGGGGGTCGCAGTTTGGCAGTGTGCAGTCACTTCTGGTCCAAAAGCCAACCGTGCTACAGACTGGCAGCCAACCCACCGCAGCCGCACTGGGCCGTGGCCTGGGGGTTGAGAACCCCTGGTCTAGAGTTCAGAATCAAGTTCTAGAAATTGTAGTTGGGCACTGCAACTACACCATCAAGTCTAGGGAATAGTAATGTATTTATTACCTTGCACTGGAATAATAAGGGTTTCCTTCTGCCTCAAATCTACTGATGATTGGCTCCTTCAAGGCTGCTTCATCTGCTTCAGATAACTGTAAGGAACAGAGAGACTATCTGAACCATGACTATGTAAAGAAATTCTTCAAAATGTTTTTTTCCACAGAAAGACATCATACCCTCACCTAAAGTACAAGGCAAGAAGTAACCCATCAAACCATCTCAATTAATTTTGTGCCCTACTTTACACACTTTTCTCAGTTTAGCACTTTTGGATAGGAATTAAAATTAAATATGCACCCTTTCTCTGTTGAGGGTACCAGAGGGTAAAACAATTATATAGTAATGTATATAAAAGGGCCTGAATAAAATTTACATTTCCAGTTGCTCATCATCCATAGTATACCTAAGAGTTTGGTAAATGCCATAATTTGATATTAGATATTTTAAAATCATTGATGTGTCAAAATAATCCAAACACTGGACCTCCTTGTTGGGCAGGATTACAGCAGCCTCCACACCAGGTCCCTGTATGCCAGTTTGCAATATATACCAGAATCTGTAAGGAGATCCTTACAAGGAAGCAGCTCAGGAACCTTGGGTTTTACTCCCAGTTCTGCCACATCCCTGATAGGTTATACTGGATAAGCCACTTCCATCTGTGCCTGCATTTTCCCATTTGTAAAGTGGACGTAATGATCTAGGCCGCCTCTGTCAAGTATTTTGAGAGTTAATGATGAAAACGCTGTATAAGACTAGGTTTTGCTTTGCTATCTGTAGAACCTGTTGTGGGGAAATCATCATTGAACCCAATATGGGTATTTTTAGAACTATATGACTTACTTTAGACCTTTTACTTAGTGTAAAGGGCTAAAAGCACAGGGGAGGATTTCACCAGCTTGCAGGGGGTTGGTAGCATTATTTACATGTAAATATTGAGTGAAATTCTTAGTTGAAATAAATCAGCACAGTTCCATTTACTTCTATTAAAGTTAAATATATATTTAAGTTCTATGCTGGACCAGCCAATGCTTTTTCAAAAACTTACACACACCTGTGGTTGTAGTAATACTTTGAGCCTTTTTATACGCACTACTTCCCATATTTCATTTCCCTTGGACCTAGTACATCTAAAGTTCACTCCACATGTACCTAAGGGCAAGGCTGAATCTGGCAGCTTTCAGAATGAATTACTGAATGATATAACTATAAAATATATCATTTAGAAACATAGTAGAATATGCTAATTTCCAGTTCCTTTGCACAATTTAACATATCAAAATAATCACAAGCTTCCTGAAATACCATACCTTTTAAATGACAATGGTGAAGTTAGTCAATGCCTTCTTTAAGCTTCTCAACACATTGTCAATTAGACATTTCAGAACACTAAGCAGTTGAATAATTTGACTGAGCTTCCCTCAAGCTTCCTACTGAAAATATAATTGGAAAAATACTTTCCTCTCTGATATTTCTCCTTAATCTCCTTTTTTGCGGGAATCCTCAGTTACTCAACCTAAGCTGGGCTGACAATTAGTTTCTTAGAGCAGCACAAGGAGAAATGAAATCTGAAAAATTCGTTTTTTATTCAAAGGACTATATGCTAGTCCACTAGAAACAAGCCAGGTCATCAGTGATCTCAGTGTCTGGAAGAGGTAAACAGTAGAATTTCATAACTACCACATAGCTGCCAGTGCACTGAGCAGCAGTAGCAAAAACCTTACACAAATGGTTTCCACCCACAGCTTGCAGGCAACACATTGTCCGTAACACTCTCTGGCACAGCCTGTAATCACAGGGAACTGCCTTGGATGTTAGTGTCCCACTCAACCAGCTCAAAAGGGTGCTAAAATATACGGTGGGAGATTAGATAGGAATACTGCATCAAGAATGTCAGTGGTCAGCCAGGAGTCTCTACTCTTATTTGCTTGGATCAGACAAGAGCAAAGGGAGGAAAAAAGAGCTACCTGTTTCCCTTCTCTGGCTTTTTGGTCCTTGGCTATTGTAGCCAGAACAGTTGCAGCTTGTTCTCCTCCCATCACTGAGATGCGGGCATTTGGCCACATATAAAGAAATCTTGGGCTGAAAAATAACATTAAGTTTAACATAAAAGAAAAAACTCAGCTCTTCACCAAAAAATTAAAGCTCTCCTCACCACCCAGCTAAAAATATATTTGCTTTGTTTTGTTTGAAGTAGACAATCATGTAATTTGTATTTATTTGACTTACTTTTAAAATGTAAATTAAGTTAGAACATCAGGCTATTGTCAGTAATGTGATCTTACAGGATTTGAAAATCCTACTTCACTGTTTCTGTTTTCAAAGCTGCAGCATTTCCATTTCTTAAATATTTGTCTTCTGTTCTCCCTTTCCCCCAAATGTGTGTTACGTGCCTGTTCACTTTTGTAAACAGTTGAAAATACTTTTGGAATTGTATGAACAGACAGCATGGGGAGAGCTAAAAAAAGAAACATTTGGGCAGATGCCATGAAGGTTACTCATGAGAACAGCCTTATTGCAAGTAAGCACTGCTCATGTGAATAAGGGTTACAGGACTGATCTCACACTGTTTCTGCAAGTGCATCTACACCTTCACAGCAATCCCAAGAACACTGCCTGAGAAACATGTCCTGCCCACTCAACCCAGCACCACATGAACTGCTTGCAGAAAAACAACCTTTTTGGTGCATGCCCAAAGACACTCTGAGCATCTTTCTCTTGGGTAGACAGTGCTAGGGGTGCCTACCCTCTCTGACAATGAGCACAAAATAACTTTTCAGCCTGTGGTCAAGGTGGACAGGTCTAATTTCTCAGCAGCAATCTCAAGGTCACTGCAGAGACAGGGTAAAAACATGCTAAGACTGTGTTTTCTGTTTACTATCAGATGCATAAAAATAGCAGGGTTTATTATTATTATTTATAACAATAGAATGATATATTTTAAATAAAGAAGTCAGATATTTATATTCCAGAGGGATTCCTCTACCATGTAATTGTAAGATTAATTATGAGTTGAACAATCTCCACAGGTTCCTATTATGATCATTATCACTTATGATAGCAAATACTGTGTACTAGATATCTTCCAAACAAAGGAGGCATAGCTTCTGCCACAGTAATTAAAAAGTCATATGAAGCCTTTATTGCCTATTATAATTAGGCATTTTACTTACCTATATGCCCTTCCACACATCCCATAATTTCCAGCACCATAGGATCCACCAATAATAACTGTTATTTTAGGTACACTGGCACATGCTACAGCAGTTACCATTTTGGCTCCATCCTTTGCTATTCCACCAGCTTCATAATCTCTACCAACCATGAAACCTATGGCATTAGGGTGAACAAAAGCCTTCAGTTACTTAATGCTAGCTATGTAACTTTCATTAAAACTAAACTCTAAATGTACAGGAGTGGGACTATTTGTTCAGAAATGGACTGATTCCTGAGCAATTAACAGGTATAGATATTTTCCATAAAGATGCTGCCTAAATGCTGAACCTTAATGATCATCAGCAAAGCATAAATTACTGAAACTTCATAGAACAAACTTACTCACCTGTGATGTTTTGCAAAAACACAATAGGAATATTTCTTTGACAACATAATTGAATAAAATGAGTTCCCTGCAAATAGAGTAAAGGTAAAACTATTAAAAGATGCAGCAGCAAAGCAGTTATCTGGAGTCACTGTGGCATTAGCATCACTCTCCCTCTACTGGAAATTTTCACGGGGAATTGTGTCACTGATTACTACAGGAACAAAAAGTAGGCCCTGCCCTGTCCGTCTAATCAGAGGGGACAGGCCAATTCCAACTCTCACTCTCTAGTCAATAGCAAAATTTCCATTAACTTAATGGAAGTCAAGGACAGCAAATATTGTAAAGGTTAAAAGATAAGGTAAAAACACTAATACCTAAAAAAAACCCTAGTAGTATTGCCAGTATCTGGAAATCTCAATGATCTTGACCAAGTTTATATAGACAAACTATTAGGCACCACTGTACACTTTCTCAGGCCCCAAAGCTTAATGTATATATCCCATCCAAGCATACATATGGTTCAATGAAAGATATCACCCATAAAAATCCTTGCCTCTCACACTTTTCCTGGATCATCACAGCTACAACAACAAGCCTACACTAACCACATCTATTTATTACCTTTCTTATTTTTTCCAAACTGCAGCACCATTCATTTCCTCTCTCTTGACTTCAGAACAGAAATAAAATGCTATCTTTTTTCATTCCCTTCCCTCTCCCACTTCCATTTCCTAAAGGCTGTTTACTTAAGGAAGAAATAGGAGCTAACTCCTTTCCCCAGTTTGATCTAGAAGGGGTTTGGATCAGTAAAGTCATCAGTGACACACCTTGGTAAGTGCTTCCATGGGGTCAATTTACATTACAGATGCAACAAGTATCAGGGAATGAAGGGAAGAGTAATGCTGCTGTATATAGTTCTTAATAATAACTTTAGGATACCACTATTTTACTATTTTCTGTTCTAGAGAGGTAGGTCAGGTCAGACTGAAGAAAGTCTCAGCATAACGTCAGGAGCACAAATAATTTGGGACTGACCTCAAGAAACTGAGAAACTAAAACCTTTTCTTATTTAACTGGTTTTACCCCAGATGTTTTATTTTGCACCTCAAATCAATGGTACTTAAGCCATCTTTAGCAGCCCTCCATCTACCAGCTCAACCTCTGGAAATCTGTTCATTCCCTGATGTGTCCCAGTCTAGCAAGTACTTGAAGAAGCCGGCTTGATCCAGTTTTATTTAAATTATTTACTGAATTATTAGTTTAAATAATTTAGTAAACCTGACAAGCTGGCTGAAAGAGTAGCAGACTTGGGAAGCCAGACAAAGGAACAAAAAACCCTCCAGCTCCTTGAGCATGGATGATATTAATGAGGCAAAATAAAAATGCAGATGGTATCAGGGTAGTGTGACAATTCACCAATTGCTCCGTAACTCTGGCCTTTACCCATGTTATTCTAACCTTTATACTTTCAGTTTATTACATTCTACTAGTTGCATCAAATATAAAGATAAAAAGCCTGTTTCATATCCATGAAAAAATAAAGTTCAAGTTGAAATGGCTTTGCCATATTTGGGGAAAATGTGGTGTCTGATGCACCAAATCTACTCCAGTAATAGCAATTAAATAAATTTGAGTGGCAGGAGTTACGAGTTCATACTGATATTTAAAAACATAAACTTTATATACGTAAAAATGTGTCTTTTCAGTCTGTATTATACATTATTTCTTCATTTGCAAAAGCTTTTTTATCCTTTGCTGATAAAGAGTTTAAATTAATGACCATTCTTTCAGACTCTGAATCTTAAGACATGCAGCACAACAAATGAAAAAAACTGACCTTTTCACTATAAAAAAACCCAATCAAAATCAGCTGCTAGGAAATAAAAATAAATAGGGCTGTGCAAAACACCATCGTTTAATTTCGATGTCTGTTTCACCAAAGGGACAGTGTTTCACTTTGTTGTTTTGTTTCGAAGCACTGTCCTGTTTCATTTCACTGAAACTGTTTAGCTGTTTCTACAAGTTTTGACATTTTGCCGAGGCTATAATGGGGAATCATGAAAATGCCTAAACCTTTGTCATTTCTTGCCTGATTTGGATGGAAATTGCAGGGATGGTAGCCCCTGCTGAGGGCATGAAGCCTGCCACGTTTCAAGGAGATAGGTGCAGAGGTTTCTGGGAAACTGCACCTCAATCTGTTCAAAGCAAACGTCCTGATGCTTGCCGGCAGCGGCAGCCTCCTCTCATCCAGTGGCTGTGATGCTAACAGTGGCTGCTGTTGCTGGTAAGTTGTTGGAGGTGGGGGCTGGAGTCAGCAAGGGAGCACACGGGGCGGGGGGGGCTGGAGCCGGCTGGCGAGCACGTGGGTTGGGGCTGGAGCTGGCTGGGGAGGGCGCAGGGGGGGTGGAGCCAGCCAGGGAGCACATGGTGGGGGCTGGAGCCAGACAGAGGGTGCGGGGGGGCTGCAGTCAGGCAGGCAGCACATGGTGGGGGGGGCCGCAACCCAGCGGGGAGCGCACAGGGGGACTGCAGCCTGTCAGGGTGTGCGCAGAGGGGGCTGGACCCAGATGCAGGCCAAGTGGGTGGCTGTAGCTGAGCAGGGAGTCAAGCAGGGGCGTTGGTTCCTGGTGGGAGAGGCAACCTGAGGCTCCTCTCACCCGGGGAGCAGATCCATAGGCTTGTACCCCCAGGAGGGCTGCCGGGCTGTGCCAGACTCCTTCCAGGGGTGCGAGCCCCCGGATCTGTGCGCCACATGAGAGGAGGCCTAGGCTGCTGCCTGGGATCAGTGCTGGGCATAGCCTGTGCCCAGTGCCAGGGAAGATTGCTGCTGCTGCCGCCGGTCCCAGGTGAGAGAAGCAGTCTGAGCTTCCTCTCACCCGGGGCACAGATCCAGGGTTTTGCACCCCCAGGAGGGCTGCCGAGCTGTGCCAGACTCCTCCTAGGGGTGCAAGCCCTCGGATCTGCGCGCCAGATGAGAGGAGGCTCAGGCTGCCACCTGGGACTGGTGCTGGGCACAGCTCGCGCCCAGTGCCAGGGAAGATTGCTGCTGCCACCAGTCCCAGGCAGCAGCGGCAGCTTCCTCTCATCTGGCACACAGATCCAGGGGCCCGCACAGATCATTTGTTTCATTTTGATTTCACTGTTTGGAGCTGGAAATGTGTTGAAACAACTTCGAAATGAAACACTCAGCGAAATTTCACACAGCCCTAAAAGTAAACAATGTATGATCGCTAGCCAACCTCTACATAGAAGCACTCAAAAAACCCAATGATCACCATGGGGAAAAGCTGTGTTAGACAATTTCTGCCATTCTGAAATTATATGTATAGTTTTTGAACTGATGTTGTAAATGAAAACAATCCACAATATTACATTATGGCTCCTACAAAAACTAAATCATGTTAGACAAAGTTAGAAATTAGATAGGGTGACTGAAGGGGCTATGAAATATGATCAAGCTTCATGTAACAACTTTGAATATTATGACCTGAATAGTATGAACTCTGAATTTCATATACAATTTATATATGCCCCACTGGTCAGTGGAACTTGATAAACTACTCAAAGAGTACTAGATGGATTGGCCAAAATGGCAGGGCACTAGAACAAGAAAGTACTTTCTTGCTTTCCAGTCAATAGGCAAGCTGTCACTATACCAATACGATACCAATCACCAGGGAAATACCGAAGTTATAAAAGGGTAATGAGATCTTTACAAGTTGCGGAAGTGCTATAGCAAAGCCACTAGGAAATGTCACTAGGAAAATGGCCTTACTTTCTGCAATGCATAAAGTTGTGCTCTATTAGACAGAGCACAACTCTGTCCCTCATTTCACAGTAAAGCAGAATTCCTCCCTTCCTTCCAGTTTCCCCTACAAGTTCTCTTAAAACACAGCTGTCCTGCATGTTGATTTCCTCATCAACACTGTAAAAATGTTGCCAAAAGAGACCAAGATATGTGATATCTATTGGCAAAACCATCATAGAAATTCACTATGACCTTGATATTATGTTTTTTTAAATACAAAATCCTTTGTCTAATAACAAAGAAGATGGCCAAAAGCTACCTTGCCACAAAGAGTCCCTTTGTAAAACAACGATGCACTCACTCAAAACATTTTGTGACAGAAGTACATCAATTTGCAGAATGGAGAAGAAAAAAAGCCAACTCATACAGATGACATAAGAAAGCGTGCAGTAGCAGGGTTGGAGTGCTGCTGTAGCCATGGTGGTCCAGGGAATATATAGGAGGCAAGGATTTTTTGGTGATATCTTCTAATGGACGAACCATATAGTTGGGAGAGATCTTAGACAAGCTTTCAGACAGGCGCTTTTATGCCCAAAAGGCACAGCATCTCTCACAGCTATAATTTGTCCAGTATAAGATATCACTCCAAAACATCCTTGCATCTCTTAAGAAAGCATACAATGTCACTAGTTAGTCAACAGCTGCCAAGGATAAGTACGAAACATATCAATGATGGTAAATCAATGAACTGGGCATCAGAATCACAAATAAAATATATCACGTGTCAAGATTGGTAAGAATCAAACCAACCAGTAGAAACAACCAATTTATTTACTGTGACACATCATTCAGCTTAAATGTGTAAAATTTCATACAACTTTTTTAAAGCATTCAGCATGGGCTCTCCTCCCACAGTTGGGAGTTTCAGAAAATATTATCTATCTATGGTGTTATCTTTACAACTTTCATTTTTCTTTTCATAATGTAATCCTGTTGCCATGTCTACCTCTCACCTGCAAGTTATAAAAACACCACATTTTATAAAAGCCAGTTTATTCCAAACTATCAAGTTATTTTGGACAATTCTTGCTCCCATCAGATGCAGAGGCAGGTAAATGCATTAATCATGACAATAAAGACCACTCTTCTTCATACAAATTCTGGATAAAAACTTAAGAAGTCTCCAATAATGTCTAAGGAAAATTTGAAGAGAAGCTCACTGTATCATGCTTACCTTCTTTGCTGACTCAGAGAAGAGAACCCCATTGTTGCCGATAATTCCTACAGGGTAACCAAATACTCTAGCAAATCCTGAACAGGGGTGGGGGGCGGGGAAAAAAAAGGTTGACATTCTTAGGTCCATTTGTTTCACTATAAAGATGGGAAGAGAACACTATGTTCTTGATATAATGACGCAGATCTTCAGGAGAGAAAACTTTATTAAAAATAGCTAAGTTCAGCAAAACGGATGATCCAAACAGTATAACTGATGGATAAATTTACAAAATAACAATATATTGTCTAAATACCTGTGATTAAAGTGTCTCCATATAAAGCTTTGAATTCATCAAATTTACTTCCATCTACAATTCTAGCAATGACCTTAAGAAAAAACAACAGAAAAATAAAATTAGCCCCTATCTTCACTGGACTATTTTAATTTTCTTTAAAACTTTAACATTTAACTTGTTTTAGATACTTAATGGATTTTTAACATTTCATTTCATTTTAACTGCATCAAGGATCCTGATTTATGTATCTATTTAGATGGCAGACAAGAGCCCTTTTACTTCATAAATTATGCTTTACTTCTCTGAATTATGCCCTACCTTTTATAAAAAGTAATTATATTTTTACAGGGATCTCAAGACTGAAAACATTAGGTTTTAAATTCTATACACCTTTAAAATTGAGACTTACTAAGCAAATCTTTTATTTGCTCCTTTCTCAAAGAGGAAAAAAGTGGTCTTTCCAGGCATATTAATCAATAACGAATACATTCATCACAGATTTCAAACAAAAAAGCTACGTATAGGCATCTGTCACTTTCTTTTAGTGGTAAGCATATATGAGCTTTGTTTAAGTTTGAGACCTAGAAAACCAATGAAAGATTTGTTTTAAAACTAAAATGAAGAGGTAGGTTTTGTAACTAAGCGTATGGATACAAGACACATTTACGATTTGGTAAAAGTGGAGCAGTCACAGGATGATCAGACCTATTTCAATGTAAATCATTTGAAACCAAGTTAAAACTATTGGTTGAAAAATGCAGTAAAGTTACTGCTTTGAATATGAACTGAGCCTGCTTCCCTAGTCATTTTCAGCCTAGCAGACCCTTCTTTCATGCAAACCAGCTCCCTCACCACCTAGTAAACAAGCACTGTAAGCGCACCAACTATGGACAACTAGTTTTGCAAGAGCTGTTCGTGTGTCTCCCCTTCAGAGGAGCAAAATCTTGGGCAATTATTCCACAGAAATTGTGTCACACACCCTAAGCACATAGGGGTAACTGAAAGAAAGAGGCAGTTAGTTATGTTAGCTTGAACTCAGGCAGGGGGTAGGGTAGATTTGTACTTTATAGACTAACTAAATCAGAGATGCATAGCCTAAGCTTTCATAAGCAGTAAGCTTATTTTATCAGATTCTGATGAAATAAGCTCACTGCTTACAAAAGCTTATGCTATGCATCTCTGATTTAGTTAGTCGATAAGGTAACTGAAAGGACATTTAAACCTGAAATTTCTTTTGACAATGCCTTTTATATTAGGGTATCAAAATATTCCATTTAGGGGTCCCTGTAATAAGTGAAACACTAGGTATATTTAGGCTTTTTTGTTTTTATAAAAAAATGCAAGATGAATCCTGGTGTTCCTGCAAAAGTGAAGGAGACTGCAGACCTCCACCCCAAATAAGCTGTTTCAGAGAAAGCTGGAGCAAATGGGCTTTGTATGTTCAATTTACACAGAGGGCTGGGAAGAATGTTAATTTTCATCCGTCATGAATAAGCAGGATGTGGACTGGCTGGGCAGCTGTTACCATAGACACTTTTTATTAATGCTGCGATTAAGATCTCTACAGCAGTGAGAAACCTGCTGAGCAGCAGCTCTCTTAAGGCCAAGCAATCCCTTTGTGTAGTTGGAAAAGGAACTGAACTGTTTCTGAAATGTTCTGAACTTTCACAATCTTTATATCAGGCCAGATGACTTGATCTTTAGCTCTTTAGTTTAGCTGGAAAAGAAAGCTAAATGTTACCCGTGTGCCTTTGTGTTCTGAAGCTACCTTTTCATACCTCTTTGACATCAAAGTTTCTTTTAAGCTGATCCCCAACTATTCCATATAATTCATCAGCGGGAAATAAAGGTTCTTCTGATGGTTCTATATTTACCTGGGACAATTTAACAAACATAATTTAAAGTACAAAGACAAAACACCCAAATTAATTTCCCAGGCATTCTGATAGTTCCCGCTTCACCAACCAGGCTCAAAACTCCCAACTGTTTCTGTTTGTTTTTGTATCTGATCAGCACAACTAACCATTTTCACTTGGTCCCTGCTCCTACCACCACACATGTACCGGGCGGAGGGGGCAGCAAGCAGCACAGGAAGCAGGCAGCCTGACCCTCAATCTTTGTCCCCCTCCCTGCTTCCCCTACCACTTGGATCCCCTGTCATTGCTTTCCCTGATGCAGCAATGGGGGGGATGAATTTATGACAACCCTCCAAAAATTAGATTTCAGTCATGGAAAATTGTAAAATTCTAATATAATAAAGGGCTTTTGGCCAACTGTGCATGCATCGCTGAGAGGGCAAGCAGCAAGTTGGCTACGCAGGCCCAAGTTTGAGCCACTACCAGGGATATTTGTGGTGGCAGTGAACACGCCCCGGCTGCCTGAGCAACAAGGCTTCCCCATGCCTACCTGCCTGAGGGCAAGGGGGAAGTCACGGTGGTGGCGCCCCCCCCCCGTCGCTTGTCCCCAATACCTCCCAGAACAGCTGGCAGGGAGGGGGAGATGGCAGGCAGGGAGGGAGGGAGAGGAGCAGGATGGGGGGCAT